TAGTTCGTACCCCTTTTATCTTGCTCATCTAAAGCTTATCAAAACTGTGTGTACATGACACATTTATATTAAAAATTGATCTTTAGGTATATCATTTTTTATCACCATACACTTTCGGGTTTTTCTGATCTGGTTTTGCTTGGTGCTAATTGTTTACGTGTCTTTTTAAACGTCTTTTAAACGTGTATAGACACAGATTTGAAGTTAATATTTTCTGTATGATTTGCCACTTGTCCATAAATTAAAATTTGTACAGTGAAAGGGTAATAAAAGTGTGTCAATAATACCCATCCAAAAATTTAACGTTTTAATAACTTTTAGATAAAATAACTTTAAAATATTTTTGTGCGAAATGTAAAAATAAGTCGTGATATTACTGAAGCACCACGTGCGAATAAAATTACTCGCCTCTATTTCTATGATGCTGAAATCGATGTAAAATCTCTTGATTTTTGACCGTCCATTTGCAAATTTTATTTTAGCGATTTGCCATTCAAGAGCCCGTTCGAGGTAAATAGTACTCGGAAAACAAGGAATCTACAGTGTACAGAAAATATTTAATTCAAGTCTGTATTACTAACAAATATTGAAAATTTAATCCAAAAATTTAATTAATGTACATTCCTTCTTTTCGCGAGTACTTATTACTGCGAAAGGCCTCTTTGAACAACGTCAAATCGAGAGAATAAAATTCGTGAATGGACTGTTTATCAAGAGATTTAACATTGCTTTTACTACCATAAAAATAAAATCGAGTAATTTTATTTCGCGAGTTGTGCTTCTCGGGAAATCACGCGATAATTAATTCCACGGGTATATTTTGTACTTAACAGTACATTCAGTGTAGAAATGTTCGAAAGCAAAACCCCTTCACATGTATCATCATTCCGCGCTTAGTGTTGTATCTACAAAGTTTAAAGCAAATTGAACACACTCGTGAAACGTGCAGTTTTTCTAAAAATGGGTTGAGCTGTTATAATTAATGTTTACTATTCACCGGGTGTTTTCAGTCTGCCCACTAATCTTTGGCTATGTAGACTTCATCCTTCAGAAACCAAAAAAAAAAAAATAATAAGTCAGTCTTGGTTATATAGAAATCTTTTTTTTTCTTTTTGATTGGTAGAAGGTGAGTTTCAATTTATCAGGTTAAGATACTTTTATATTTACGGAAGAGTGAGGCTCTGTCAATATTTGAGCATGTTTCTGTATAATCACAGGTCTTAGACTAGTTTGTCTATTTGTCTAAAAATAAAAACTATGGGTAGGATATCAGTATCTTGTTTACTGTATACAGGGAAAATTTCGCCCCCCCCCCGTTTTTTTCGCCACTTTCGCCCTTCTTACATATAGAGGGTAATTTAAAGAACACTGAATAACTTTTTAAAGTAATTTGTGACTGCGTGAATTTAAAACGTGGCCAAATTGTTTGCAAATGTGAAAGGGCGAAATTAACCCTGTATATAGTATATACATCTACAAATAAAGTTTGGTAGGTATATAAAAATCGCCATGTCTGTCTGTCAGTGAAATCTCTCACGAACATAACTTTGTAAGTAATAATCCTTGAAAGCTCAAACTGCACAAAAATTGGTTATGAACCAGAAAGGTGTTATAACTTTAAGCAAAGGTCAATTCATTACTTTGAACTTATCAAAAGAATATTGTTCTTATTCATTTTATATCTTTGTTGAAAAAAATCATTGAAACTCAACATAGTTCTGATGGTCATGACCTCGACTTAAGGTCATCCAAGTAAATTATGACTGTCGGAATCAAACTTTATTAGTCTTGTAAAAATTATAAATGGGAATAATTGGAAGCTCATATTTGGTACACCGATTGTTTTATGACTTGAAGGAATGTCATGAGGGCTTTTCTCGCTTTATAAATCTTTTTTTAGAAAGAGTATGTTCTTACGTATTTAATTACCTTAATGACACAAACTGTCTATCAAGTTTATCTAAGAAATGAATTAAATTTATGAAGATTCACGAGGACATGAACTACGAATTTCACACCGGTATATTTCATGAAGCGCGTTAATTCATTTCTCTTTTTAGGTCATCTGAGTAAACTCAGGTGACCTATTGCTATCCGTTTTCGTCCGTCTTCGTCCGTCGTTCGTCGTCCGTCGTGTGTTAACATTTGAACATTTTCAGCTTCTTCTCTGCAACCACTGAACCAATTTCAACCAAATTTGGCACAAAGCATCTATGGGTAAAGGGGAACAAAACTTGTGAATTTCATGATCCCTGCCCCCTGGGGCCTGAGGGGTGGGGCCAAAACCACTAAAATTAATGCAATCTTTAAAAAATCTTCTTTTTTACTCCTGGATATCAAGCAGTCAAACTGTTTGCATGATAGTAATCAGCAAATTCATGACCCTGGGGTCAGGGGTTCTAGTGCTAGGGCGGGGCTAAATAAGTATATAGTGAAAATGCATTATTTCTTTGGAAATCTTCTTCTCTACTCCTGGGTATTAAATAAACCAACTAAGTTCATAGTTATGATGAGCAAGAGTGCCTCTACCAAAATTGTGAATTTTATGGCCCCAGGGTCATTGGTTCTGGTGTTAGGGCGGGGCTCTATTGATTATATATAGTGAAAATACATGATTTCTTTGAAAATCTTCTTCTCTGCCCCTGGGTATTAAATATACTTACTAAGTGCATAGTTATGATGAGCATGAATGCCTCTACCAAAATTGTGAATTTTATGGCCCCAGGTCAAGGGTTCTGGTGTTGGGGGGGGGTGGGGGGGGCTCTATTGATTACATGTATATAGTGAAAATACATGAATCCTTTGAAAATCTTCTACTCTGCTCCTAGGTATTAAATAAACCAACTAAGTGCATAGTAATGATGAGCAAGAGTGCCTCAACCAAAATTTTGAATTTTATGGCCCCAGGGTCAAGGGTTCTAGTGTTAGGGCGGGGCTCTATAGATTATATATAGTAAAAATACATGAATTCCTTGAAAATCTTCTTCTCTGCTCCTAGGTATTAAATAAACTAACTAAGTGCATAGTTATGATGAGCAAGAGTGCTTTTACCAAAATTGTTAATTTTATGGTCCCAGGTTCAGGGTTTCTGGTGTTAGGGCAGGCCTCTATTGATTATATACTGAAAATACATGAATTCCTTGAAAATCTTCTTCTCTGCTCCTAGAAATTAAACAAACTAAGTACATAATTATGATGAGCAAGAATGCCTCTTTTAAAATTATGAATTTTATGGTCCCAGGGTCAGGGGTTCTGGTGTTAAGGGGGCGGGGCTCAATTGATTATATAATGAAAACACATTAAATCTTTGAATTTTTTTTTCTTTGTCTCTGGGTATAAAGCAGATGAACTACCTTTATAGTTATGATGAGCAAGGGCCCTAATCTTGCAGAATTGTGAAATCTAAAGCCCCAGGGTCAGGGGTGGGGTGGGGGCTCTACTTATATACTGAAAATGAATTTATTGTTTGAAATGTGCTCTTTTGTATTTATAAAACATTTATTTATTTTTTGATATTAAGGATGCCTTTTTGAAATTTGTGCAATGTGTGGACCTAGGGTCAGGGGTTTATGTCAAAGTGTTAGGGGCACTACTGGTTAGTTGGAATGCATTTTTGTTCCCCTACCCTGCATATGGGTATTCAGTAACCAAGCTAAGCAACTGCTAAGTGTATTGTTATGAGGATCAATGGTCCTCTTTCAAAATTGTGAATGTCATATAGCATCTGGCTTAAAACATGAATCAAATTCAATAACTGGAAAATTGTTGCATAATGCTCAGGTGACCTATAAGGCCCCTGGGCCTCTTGTTTATTTATTTTATTTGTCTGAAGAGTTGGATTTCAGTATGAAGAAATATCTTTTTCCAAATTGCAGAGGCTAATTGCTGGTCTAAATATCACTCAGAATAGAAAGAAAAAATATCTCCTGTGGCATTTGGAGAATTCGAAAAATGGCATAAAAATAACACAGTGCCGGTTGAATTTGTGGTACCTTAACTCAGCTTCTTGGATGTTTCTATCATGAAGCTCGTTGTATGTGACGCTTCCGAGAAGGTCAATAGTTAATACTAAATAACTACCAAACAAATTATGTCGGTCTATCATTTGGTCTCTTGATATGAAGGTATTACTTTCTTTTAGAAATGAAATTTTAAGATTTCGTGGCGGAGGGAGGTGTAACTTAAAATAAAATCTCGCTTATCAAAACGACAAAGAAATAAAGGCAAAGGGGGGATCCAAAACCTCAAGAATTTAATAACCGCTTTTGAAAAAGAAACGCAGGAGAATATTTCTAGCTGGTGGGATTATGCACGGTAAGTTAGTTAAAACGCTTTTCCCCCTTTTATTGATAGAAATGTTTTTTTTAATAGAATTCAATTAACTTCTTCGCACATTGATTCATTTCAGATTGAATTTGTAATCGTTATACATGTTATAGGGGGTCGATGCATAGGTGACTCTTTCCATTTGTATCTTGCCTTTCGCAATATTCTTTGGAAGACTTCGCAGGGTATTACTTGATTAGTAATATCCATTCAAGTTCAGAATGAAACAATTTTCCGAGATTCAAAATTTCTATTTACTAGAAAATATATCATAAATGCTTTATCATAAGTTTTTGGCGAAAATCCTATTTGATTATTAAAAAAAGGAATAATAACAATATTACAAATCAAAGAGTTCCAAAAAAATTAGAAACATTAATCAATTTGTTAAAGAAATTTAAAACAATCCTGATTTTCTTTTGATAATTTTAATGTTATGTATTTCTCCTACATTTTGGATCTCTGTCAATCAGAGAGATAGCTATAGGAAGTAATATATTAATATGTTACAGAAAGAGTTTTAAGCTGAATGTCCACTGATCAATCATCAACTTTTGTTACACACACAGAAAGTGTGCTTGTATCATTGCTGAACATATCTATGCAAGGGTAATTTACATATATTACATTTATTAACAAATTAATAATGCTCATTCAAACTCAGAAAAAAAAATATGGATGGATCAAGTTTATTATAATGCTGCTATAGAATAATACAATTACAAGAAAGCGGTAGTTGAACAATGATATATCATAGCATTGTACGTATAAAATTCTAACTCTGAGAAATTCCCAACAAACCAATCATCTTTCTCTTACTGACTTATCCATAGACAAAAGAAGAAAAAAAACAATCTCAATTTATAACAAAATACGTTGTTGTTACAAATTGTATTGTAACATACCTTCTACTTTTATAACAAACCTGTCATTTGTCCAAATATCATTACATACAAATAATTATTTTTACTTGCATCCATACACTGCAAGTAATTGCATATACTATTCCCCTATTCCATTATATTATATTTAGGGCAATATAATGTTTTTGAAATTAGACACCTGAGATGTAAACTATTTATCGAGGCCGAAGGTTGACATGAATATTGTACTTCAACAATGAGTAAATCATCGTATTTATCAAAAAAAAAAAAGACCACCAACTTTTCTTATTCTATAATTCAACTAATAGATTGATTTATTGATTGTATATTGTTTCACGTCCCTCTCGAGAATTTTTCACTCATATGGAGACGGCAGCATTTGCCAGTGGAGAGCGGCAAATGTTGTTCTTTACTCCCAACTCAAGGCCATTGAGCAGGGAGGGATCTTTTTCGTACCAGCACCTTCTGCGACACAGGACCACGGTTTATACGGTCTCATCCAAAGAACCGGTCTCCACGTCCCACAGTGGGATTCGAAACCGCGACGTAAGGATTGACTCCTTACTTTGCGACTCTAGATCAGAGGCTCTAACAACTGTGCCACAAGGGCGACTTGAACTTATAGAGATAACAGACTAAAATTATTTGTGGATTGATAAATTAGTCTGTTCAACTAATAGAGAAAACAGATTAATTTATCAATCCACAAATAATTATTTTTTGATAGGAGATCAGGTGCAAGTAAGATAATATTCTAAAACTTTTTTGTATCAATTGTATTTTCCAATGTATTTGTATCGTGGTCCAATATACAGAAAAATCCGTCCTTATATTTACCTGGAAGGTCACACGAAGGTGAACAGAACACACTGTAAAATCACATATTTCTGAGAGGTAAAATTTTCATGGTTTGTGGAAAATATATTGGTTCATGGTTGATTTCGTGGTTGAAGAATTTTTAAGTAGTAATATACATGTATTTGAAAAATATGTTTTTTGTGGCGGACATAATTTTTTGGGTCTCTTTATAGCTTGAAAATAAAAATAAACGAAAACTAAATCCTTATGAAAATGAATCATTTCACAGTAGTATTTTTACTACATGGCTGGATCTCAGCCATTCAGGGAACAGAGAAATGGAAGTTATTAATCATGTAACAAAATTGAATCGTTTCCACTGTTCAATAACAAGCCTTTGTCACAGACAGGGTCAATGTACATGTAAATTCGCTTAATATATTCATGCACGGACAATGTACATGTACACATATCAATGACAAATTGAAACTGCATATTATTTAAAGTCAAATTCAAAACGATAATTATGACGCTTTAAAATAATACAGTAACAAAACACTGCTGTAGACTCATGATATATCATAGCATATCTTCTTTTTCTTGACATATCAAAAGAACAGATAAACATATCATAAATCATTTCTTGCAGAACAACTCCTTTACAAATTCTTCAGGTAAACATGATTCAAGTAAAGATCTCACTTTTTTCATGGAGATCCCCGACTCCACCAACAGATCAGGACGCTTCATGTCTTTCTTAGTAGAATAATTATAAAATTGTTTGGGGTATCCATTTAAAAGCATCCCGTACACTTTAAGGGTGCCTTTATCAACAATAGTGAGAGGGGCACCTGAAGCACCATGAGCAGTGCTGCTGGAGCTATGAAATAAAATTTTGTCCTCAGATATTACACACGGGGCATAGTCATCTATTATTTCGCGTTCCTTATCTGGCCACTCCTTTTTAAAGAAAGCAATTCCTTCCTTTTTCAATTCAGTAAGTTTTGTTTCATTGTTTATGATAGTACATCCAGGATCATGTTGAAGTGGGATTCCATCAGGATGACCAAACACGTGAATCTTTTCTTCAAAAATGTTATATTCCACTAGATTAAAGAATCTTGGTTCAGACTCTAGTTCTGCAAGCTCTAAGACTATAACATCATTTTCTGGAGATACAAACGCTATATCAGGTTTGAATTTTACAATCCTTCCCACTGCTCCTTCCTTCAAATATTCAAATTTGATTTCATATCTCTCGGTTAAATCCTCCGCCAGTCCCTTTACTTTAGCTGTGAAAAAGACGAAGAAAATTAATCACTTAAATCTAGTACTTATTCTCAATGAACATGTTCCATGTAATTTGATTTTCAAGCATTTCTTTGATAAATTTTATGAGAGAGGTGGTGAAAAATGAAATTTACGAATAGATAAATTGTGATGGGGGTCCTTCCCGTCACGGGCACTGGTTAATAGAGACGATTGTTTTTATTTACATCGTTTATATACATATTTACAACACAATATATATTTATAAGAAAGCACAATGTTCACAATAAAAAGACACGTCCACACTCATTGACTTTCAGACTTGTTCTTCTCTCTCTCACTCATGTTCCCAGGGATGGCCATACCAAATCTCTTTTTCTCCCACTTTCTCACACAAATCAACTTAATGCTCACTTTCATCTCTCAGAACTCTATCATGCACAATAAACAACGATAACAAAATGACAAGGAAACAAATTATAAATCCATGCTTGCTCACTCGTTTTCTCTCTAACTAACTCAAATTACACTCTTGGGATACAGGGCTACAACGCCTGCGCCGAATTGAAAAAAATCTAATGATTTTATTTATTTTCTGATTAATATTTAGCTATGAGAGAGTTGGCCACTATTCAAATGAAACAAATTTCATTCTTTTTAATACCACCATTTATGTGTGTTTTTACTGTGAATATATCGCGTTAATTAAGGAATTATGACTCAAATGAAAACTTCGAATCAAAAATCAAAGTTAATTAGATAAAAATCTGTGATGCCAATGAACTAAATCAAAAAATAATATAAAACTTAGTAACATCAAGTGATTTCCCAATTCTCTGTACAGGCTCTTTAACATGAAAGAAATCAACTTAAGGTATAAAAACAATATTCATTTTGAATTTTGAAAAATTACTTCATAAATATGAGGAGCTGACAAAAAAAAGCTAAAATAATGTCATGTTTAATAGAAAAAAAAAATAAAAGGCAGAGTTACCTTTCCTCTTAAAATCTAATGATGAAATAAGGTTAGATATATTCCAACTTCCAGTCACTGGCAATTTGTCTTTAGTCCATTCTATTTTATTTCGCTCTTCTTCGGTCAACAATCTATGTACTTCTCTCCAAAGTTTCTCTACAAAAAGGTCTAACATTTCAAAATTCAGAATATTTTCAACTTTACCTACAACAAAACACTTGATCAATATATATTTCCATTTCTAATTTTCCTCTCTGTGATAACTCTTTAAAAGTTTCCGGAGTTAATTTCTTAATAATTCTACCAGATTATTCATCTAGGTAGGCAAATAGGTCAGGAGCGAAAAGAACTACTATGCATGCAAATCTCGTGCGCATCTGTTTCTGAGTCTGACAATAAGGAGGCCAATTATGCATGAAATCTCGTGCTGTTCCCGTTGTGTTTGTCGTCAGTGGGCGAGGACTATTGAAATTGGGATGGGAGTCTTCGTGAATAGGTTTGTCATTTTGAAATTTTTCACTGACTTGATAAATTATGCATAGTATTTGAAAGGATGTTTTGACCTGTGTGCTTAATATAATTATGTCCAAAATATGCATCAATAATTCCAAAGTTTTCTGCATATACATCATATAATCTAATATTTTCCTTCTCCTTATTGATTCTACTAAAGATAATAAAAACCTCCTCAGTTGCAAGAATTGACTCTGAAAATATGAAATATCATAAATTGTAAATATCTTCTCATCGTATGTCTTTTCAAAAATAAAAGAAGAATGTATAATAAACTTTCTTAACATCCTTAGAAATAGTTAATACATTGATTACAAAAGAAGGATGTAAAGAATATGTTTTAAATAGATACTTTTGTGTTTGAATTTTATACCGATAAATGCTAGGTTCTTTCTTCTATGAAGTACTTCTTTCTGTTTTTGACAAAAGGGAGTTGATTTATTCACAATATACATGTATGTCTCTTTAACAGTTTAAAGTAAAAGTGGAGATAATTCTTTTTTAGAATAAATAACACAAAACAACAAATTATATATATTTCCCACTAAAGAAAAGACACCTAACTATCTTACAACTTTATGATTTAACAATTCACTAGAACGTGGGGGAAAGGGGGGGAATTCCAATTTAATATTTTTTTAGACAAAGATTTTATTTTTTCCCTCCATCTTTATGAACAATTTGTATTTATTCAGTAATGTAGATCATTCTCCTGGGTCATTCATTTTTAAAGACGAACAAATAATTGACTTTCAAAGAAATGATAAAAGATGATGCAAAAAGTTGATAATCCTAGAATATGGGGATATTTTTAATGAAGTCTTCACAATAGAATTACTTTTTAAGGAACAAGGAACGAACTGAGTACCCTTGCCACACTAATAAAACAAGAGAAAAAAAATCATTTGCAC